GATGGAGGATAATATGGATAGAATGGAGTTGTATGTGTTTGATATGGAGAGGAAAATCAAGAACTAGTCGATATAGGAGGGAAGTACCCAGGAAAGGGTGGTGGTATTTCAACCATAGCTAGATCTGATTCCCTGAATCTACTCACCGGGGGACTACTGCTGACTCCTAAGTGGTAGTGGTGATGGTATCACTAGTAGAACTGATATCTATCCCTCACTTTCATTACCCTATCTAGCTATACTTGGTCCAATAATCAAAAGTTTCTTATGAGAAAACTTTAAATTGAAGGATTTATGAGAAGGATCATCACCTGAAGCCATATGTATTAAAAGAAGTAATTACTAAATTGGTGTAACATATAAAAAATTAAATTATAAGTATTCCAAATATTTATATATGTATAAATAAAAAAATAAAATATAGATAAATTGATTATAATAAATATAAAGAATTATAAAATACATAATGATTAGCATAAAAAAAGGATTTGATAAAATATATTTAGCAAGATATGTTTACTAACTTGATTTCCAAAAAATATATAATTTAATAAGTACATTATAATAATTTTAGTCACTTCACTTACAAAAATTTATTATAATCAAAAATATTTTCATTGCTTTCTAAGATATCTTCACTTTCATCATCATTCTCACTTGATGAGCTAATTGAATTATTTACATCTTTTAACTACATTTCAATATTATGGATTGTAGTTGATATCTCATCACTTTCAACAGACCTTCAATTTAACATCTCATCCTCTTGATGTGTAGTTACTACAAAGTATTGTTGATCAATTATCCTCTGTGCTTTATTTTTATGATAGCTAGCCAATTTTATTTATCTCTATGACTATGGAGATATTTGCTGAAATAAACTTGAATAACTTGACTTACTAACACAAATGGATCAAATTTCTCATATCTTAAATTTTATTTTACGTCTATCAAATCATACACATGATAAACCATTGTGCCTTTATTATGTACTAGATGAAATCATTAATAATTAAATAAACATATAAAGATCTCATCTTCGGCTGGGTCCTCTAGCTCAATAACCTCATTTAGAATATCATAATAATGACACTCATCTTCTTCGTGAGTATTTTCTCTAATATATACTCCACAACTTTTAGTTTTATTTTTTCCTTCAGTTTATAATTTAGAATTGAATCTAAACCCGTTCACAATATATATTGGCCAGGTCTTTACTTTTTGTATTAGGCCTCATGCTAGTACTTGCAGACATTTATCAAAACACTTATTATTAGGGTTATGTACCTAAAAAAATTTAAATGCTAGGACTTTTATTATTAAATAAGATGTAATTCAAATAAAAATTTAAAATTTAAGGGCTCACATAAGATCTTAAAAAACCTAGAAATTTATTTGCAGCAAGTTACTCAACATTCGTAGTATTCATTAGAGACAAATTGCATACAAAATATCTAGTGACAAATCATCCAAATAAGACTTTAGTATTTTAAGTAAATATTACTCATTCTATACATTATGAAAGAACTTACTCTAAGATTTGTTGGACTTCTTCACAGTTCAGTGGCATATATAAAGTCTTTATTTTGATTTCTAAATCATTGATATATTTACTACTGGGCTTTCCATGACTTCTAAAGACTTATAGTGCAATTTATGATTGTTCTTTTATATTGAAGCTTATATTACAATTAATCTTTATTCTTGTACTCCTTACATGGAGCTAGAAGTAGTAGGATCATAAGTGTGTAGTTTCTTCAGATAAATATGCTTCACATATTAATCATTCTAGTCGTGTTTTATTCTTAATATATTTTTTTAACTTATTTAAATATCTATTAAATAATTACAATTATCAATTATCATTAAAAATATTTAAGACAACTTAATAAAAAAAAGTTTTACCTTTTAAAAGAGCATATCCAATGATATTGTACATGTCTATCAACTTTAGCTTCGTAAGATAGATGGACTAAAAGATATTCTATAGAATCAAAAAATTTTAAGGGAAATTTTTTTTTCTATCTAGCATATGATGATTGGTATGTTCTCCTCACTCATCCGTAAAGCATATTCTCTTAGTTTAGATAAGCACAGGTCTTTGAAGAAAATACTATGTTCTATCAATGTATTCAAAATATAATCTGATAATACACATATTATGATTAGAAGAAGAACCTCCATAATTATATGACAATCATAACTTTTTAGTCTAAATAACCTCGTAGATTTAAGGTCTACACATCGGCTTAAGTTTGATCCATAGTCATCAGATATTTTTAAACCTTTAAACCATTGATATATTGATTTTCTTTTTATTATAATGTAAAACACTAAGGTGCTTTAGGCTTCATTATTTTGTCATCGCTGGTTGTTACTAACTCTAGATTTCTTTGCCGATAGTACTCTTTAATGTCTATTATAACATTGACATTATCCTTGATCTTACCTTTAACATTCATAATTATATTAAAAATACTATCCATGAAGTTCTTCTCAATGTACATAACATCCAAATTATGTCAAATTTGTTCTCCAATATGGTAAGGTCTAAAAAGTACTTTTTAATCCATTTATGTTGAACATCATATCCTAAAAATTTATACTATGATAATATTAGAAAATCAATAATTGATGAAAAGTCAGAAAATCTCAGTAGTATATCATCACCACTTCTGGGTAGAGGAGATGAAATCTCAACTCTGTTTTTAATGAATGCATCCTTATTCCTCCTAAACGGATGATCAACAGGTAGGAATATACAATGACAATCAAATCAAGTATTTTTTTCTTCATATTTTAGTGTGAAATCTTTAGTATTCTCTATATAGTAAGGGCAAGCTAATTTTCTAGTTGTGATCCAACTAGATAATATACCATAAGCTAAAAAATTGCCAATGGTCCAAAGCAATCTAGCTCTAAGGAAAAAAAATTATTTTGTTGAGATGTCATATGTGATAACACCTTTTTTTCATAAGAACTTGAGATCATCAATTAATGGTTGTAAAAAATATCATATTTTTCTTTTGGATTATGTGATTTAGGTATTATAAGTGTTAAGAACATGTACGAGATAGTCATATAGATCTATGGTAGAAGATTGTATGATGTTAGTATAACTGATCATCAAAAGTACGATGAAGCTATCTAACTATATGGAGTAAAACTATCAGCACATAATACAAATCTTATAATGCGTGGCTCAGTAACAAGTGAAACATGTGTTCAATCAAAATATTTCTACACTTCATCATCTGATGGATGTGAAAGAATACAATTGTTTGTTAATTTCTCCTTATGCCATCTCATATGACATGCTGAACTCATTGATGCATAGAGCCGTTGAAGTCTTGGAATGATCGATAAATAAAATAAATTGGAATATGAAATATCTTTTTTCGATGATGTTATTTTCTCGAGTTTGGTTTAAACCGAGGCACCTTATAAGTGTGATAATGAACTTCTATCGCATCATTCTTATAGTATAACATACATCTATTGATACAACAATAAATTTTTATAGTAGTGAGACTCAACTTGAATACTAATTTCTTTGTTCGGTATAAATTTATGGGATTAAATTATCCGTAGAATTTATTTTCTTGAGAAGACAATGAAGTCATTAAAATAATCATGTGAAATATTATATTCAATTTTAATACTTAGCATACTCACAAAAATTGATAATTTTGAATGAGTTTTGTAACCATCCCAAATTAGTTTTTGAGTTGCATGTAGTAATTCAAAGAATTTTTTAATTTTTGCATTTGGTGGTTCTTCCACACTAGCCCTTAAATTAGGATCTGTTACATCAAAAATAAGCTCTTCATATGATCTAGTCATTTGATCTTCATCAAATATTTTATAAGCTGTGGATGGACCGACATTAGTATCTTTGTGTGGCTCGTACTCATCATGTGAGGTCCAAATTAAATCCAGTAGTGTGGAACAAATCCTCTATGATATAAATCAACCTTCACATCATCAGAATTGAGGAATACTTGATTTCTGTGTTTCGAACATGGACATTTAAACATTCCATTGAACTTAAAAGATGATAGTTGAGATGCAATTTGAATAAAAGTCTCAACTTCCTACATAAATTCATCTGTCAATGCTCTTCGACCTGGTAACAATTTGTTATACATTTAATATCTCTCTTTTTGGATAGTCATTTGGATGTTAAAACAAATGTTCTCTATATAGTTGTGAAATCAATTATTAGAATATATGCAGCCTTAAATCTCATTTAAATGTAAGAAATAAATATCATTTATTCTTCTAATCGGATTATCGGAAGTCAATGGATAATACATGAGACTAAAATCTTTAAAAATGTATTGATTTCAAGATTACTTTAATTTCCTTATTTGACTAATCCAAATTTTCATGTATTTAAAATTATTAAAATTTATTTTATTTTTCTTATTGAGTAAAAATTATTTTTTCATGTACAAATTTCATATGAAAAAGCTGGTGGAAGCTCTACATTTTGGTAAAGCTTGGTGTTAATCCCCTAGGGCTTTCATCAATCCTTAGTTATCTTTCTCACTTTTACTTTTCTTTCTTAACACAATTTTCATGTCATTTGCATAGCCATGAGACTAGCTTCTCTCAACAAAACACATTCAACATCACAAAAACTCCACCATTAGTTTTTACCATCACAAACCTTTGATCTAATATTCCTTCATACATTTGTCCAAGGAAAACTTATCTTTAATAACTTAGAAGTTTGAACACCAATTCTATCCAAAACAAAAAATTTTATTTCACCAACACCCAAATAATCATCACCCTAAAGGGACTTTAATCAACTTACTGCATTCACAATAAATATAATATAAATGGATAGCTTCCATAGTTGACCTACCTTGCATGAATCAAAATTTATGCTCCAAAACTCTCTCCACGCCACAATCTATGCTCCAAAACTCTCTCCCATAGTTTTAAAGGATGACACATTAACATTAAAAAATTAAGTAAAAAAAAAATCAAACCTTTGATTCGGCCGGGGCGTTGTCAGAGTGCTCGATGGGTTTCAGCGACAGAGTTTGGGCGTGATCAGCGGCTGGAGCAAGGATGAGAACTTCGGCCGGAGTTAGGGTGTCAGCGGCCGAAATCCTGCAGAGGCAGCTGAAGGCGATCGCGAGCGCAAGTGTCTGGAGGAAAAAAGGATACGCGAAGAAATGAGGACGAAGACTCGGTTTATCCAATAATAAGTTGATTTCCGTCGGTTGTATGACATTTTCGACTGACGAAAAAAAATTTACTTAACACCAGCAGCTAGGCCGCCGGTAATGGCGCCACGAAAACATAAAACCGGCAGCCTACCCGGGGTTTATTATACCGTCGGTATTTTCGGTGGTATATTATTAAAAACCGTCAGTTAATACCAACGGTCCGAAAGCCGATTAAACGCCAGTAATTCAGACGGTATTTTGACTGACAGAATGACCGCCTGTAATTGTTGATTTTCCTGTAGTAACTCGCGTCAATATGTTATTCTATTATTAAATTCATGTTATCGAGTCCTTTTCGATTATTAAAATTGAAAACAAACTTCAAATAATCCCAAAATAAATTTCAAAACATAATCTTTATATCCATCCACAATAGCACTTTCAAAATATATAAATTATATCAAAATCCATGCTATATACAAATCTTATCACAATAAATAAATCATTAGAGAATACATAGGCAAAGATCAACTTATGCCTTTTTATTTCCTCTCATCTCTCTCTCTCTCTCTCTCTCTCTCTCTCTCTCTCTTGCTACCTAATCCTTAGGCAACATATAATATGCTCATGCTTAGGTCAGGTTCCTTGCACTTTCTCGCAGTTGCAAAAATTCCATCAAATCCCATCATCGAATCTCCTTCCACTCATTAGTTCTTATTTATTATTGCATATCTTTATCAGCCGAATTGATGACATCTTGATTGATTAGCTTGCTTTACAAATGAACCTTCACATTTCTTAATCAACCCCGCACGTGTTAAGCACTAGCTGCTAATGGCCCCATGATCCTTACTTAAGCATTAAGAACAAATTAATTACTTCATAATTACTTGTCATTTATTTTAATGACCTGTTGCTCTACGTACACGACAGAGTTGGAGATGTGTTCTTCATGTGAAGAAACGGCTCCTTTGTAAATATAATCGCATAGAAAAATATATATTAAGTTTTTTATAATATTTATTTAATTCATTATACATAAATATTTTAGTATTTTATTTTTTAATCATACATTTTACTATAAATCTCTTTATTATTTTTATATTTAGCTATAAAACAAAATTACATAATTTATGTTATTTAAATAGAATATAAACAATATATGTTAAATATTTCATTTCATTGTAATTAAAATTGAATAAGGATATTTGACCTCTTGTTCTTTTTATTTTGCTATAATTATTTTTGCGTGATAGGAAATTTCAGACGATAGAGAGAGTTTTATGTTTTATTATACGCAAAAATCTAGTATAGATAGATAAAAGAAAGAGTAAGAAAGATATAAAAGTTTTTACATGAAAATTTCAATATGGAACTCTATCAAGAAACTTATCGAACTAAAATAATCCACTATATACTTAAATTTGAAGAAGTTCAAACTTCTCCAGAGCTAAACAAGATAATATCCCAAAGTTGATATTACTTATTTGGTCTTCTAAAATTGTAGTAGTGATTGACAGAGAAATTGTGGAGAGATGATGATGGTAGTTAGAAAATATCATTTGGGAGACAAAAATCATATAACGACAGTCGAAAAATTTTTAATGGACTATAATGGTCGAATGATAGTGATCAGACCGTGACAATCCAATGATGACAACTAGGTGATGACATTCTGTAAACAATAATTGAATGATGACAATGGCTGGAGATGAATGTTAAATTGAGCTATATAACTTTGTAGATATGTAAGCTCTCTTTAAATTCAAGTCCACGTGACGCCGGAGCTAAGTCGTTAATTGTATTAAACTTCAGGCTATATTAAGTCCATTTGGTAGTTATAGGACTATAGAGGTCTAATGCTTTCTTATTTTGTATGTAGCCTATTATGATGATTCCTTTTTTGCTATAAATAGGTAGCCAATGCTTGTAATAAGGGAGATTTGGAGATTAATAAAATTAGAGTTTATTCTCTTGTGTTTTTCTGTATCCTAAGATTGTTCTTAGGTGGTGGTTCTTGCTCCAAGAAGGAGTTCTTGGAGTGGTGTCTGGCGACCGCCACCGGATCATCGACGTGGATTCGTCGAGGCCCCTCCGGTCCTGTGTCATTTGGTATCAGAGCCGACAAGATGTTGGCGTGCCCACGAGGGAAATAGCATCCTCTTCTTGCGTCCTATCTCTTCCTTGTAGCAGTTCTTTTTCTTTTGCAACAACATTTTGTGGAAATCAGAGCAAATGTTGTTGATTCGGTGAAGGAAAACAAGATATCAGCCTGCTGTTGAGCTGATTCCAGCCGTCCAAATTGGCATATTCGTTTCTTCCAAGCCGCTAGGCCAATCGTCCCAGGTGGAGCATCTTCCGGCCCAGGCTTCTCCAATCATTGCTTAGTCTGACCAATCTTGCGCCCCCACAACCAGCCGTCTTCCCGTTCAGCTCTAGCCCGTGATTTGTCATGCCGATCCTATAGTGCAGGAACAAGACTTCTGCTGCCAAATTGTTGTCTAACTTGCTGAGGGCTGCAAGGTGCCTATCTTCTGCAAGTAGTTGTATGAATATTGTACCCTTCTTCATACAAAGGCATTACACAATATTGATGATTCTTGCGGGAGTTATTTCAGTCTAGAAGGAGTTTTCTTGCCCGAAGATCAAGCGGTATCAAGAGGCCTCAAAGAAGATATTATGTGTAAGCCAAGAATAGTCTAGCAAAATGTCATCTCGCTGGAATCTTCAGCGACCACTTCAAGAAGCCAAAATTGAAGATCTTCAACAAGAAATTATTCGACTCAAACGACGGTTGTCAAGGCTTGAACGAAGGACAGACTGGAGCACCCTCAACCAAGACTTTGATGGTTTCCAATCGTGGGACAATTATTCTTCCATGACGGATTCAAGATCCTTCGTTCCAACAAAGTCCTTACGAACCGACAACGATGACGAGAGCATTGCAGATGATCAGATCTCTTCAACCCTACCCTCGATCGAGTTCAACTTTGAAGAATTTGAAGATCCGTTGCCGAAGTCGCCGTCTTTTTCTATCTTTGATGAACCCGTGTATGACGTGTACGATGACGACATGTTATTTGAAGTTCTTGATATTGATCAACCCGCATATGAGGATGACGAGGGTAAAATGGATGGCCAGTCGGAGTCAAATGTCCAGACAGAACTATTCATTCACAATGTTCCAAACAAGACAACAATTACGCCCTTCATCATTGATAAAAAAATTGTATGTGAAGATCTCCTCAATGGGTTGGATCGTGAAGCTCTTATCTTCTCCTCTAGATGGATGAAAGAAACACCTCTGGTCCTAGATGCTTTCATAATCACAAGTATTCCATCTGCTTATGCTTCTCCAGAGAGATTGAAGATTGGCAGGAAAATAGACATCGGGTGGAACAATCCTGACCCATTTAGCCAACCAAATCCGCCTCCTTAATGTGGACAACCGGACATCTTCTTATGAGCCTGAAGTTCCTCCTACCCCGGTAGTATGACGTCTGAGCTGAGTCATTAATTGTATTAAACTTCAGACTATATTAAGTCCATTTGGTAGTTATAGGGCTATAGAGGTGTAATGCTTTCTTATTTTGTATGTAGCCTATTATGATGATTCCTTTTTGGCTATAAATAGGTAGACAATGCTTGTAATAAGGGAGATTTGGATATTAATAAAATTGGAGTTTATTCTCTTGTGTTTTTTGGTATCCTAAGATTGGTCTTAGGTGGTGGTTCTTGCTCCAAGAAGGAGTTCTTGGAGTGGTGTCCGGCGACCGCCACCGGATCGTTGATGTGGATTCATCGACCCCCCTTCGGTCCGGTGTCACCACGTCAACTACCACAGGAATAATGCAAATTACGGGGAGAATTTAAGGTAAAAAGTTTCATAAAAAATTCAAGCGGATTTTCTGACAGATTTTCTGCTGAATATTTCAACTACCGTACAATGGGTGTGGGTCAATGAGGCCGGTAGTGGATTCATGCGGGTGGGTGGGCGGTCACGGCCCTGATTTTTCTGCGCGGGTCGATTGGCTGGCAAGGCCCTTTTACGTGCGTGTCGACTGATTTGCACAACTGGTTTGGCGGCTTGGCTACTCTATTGATACAACAATCAATTTTTATAGTAGTGAGACCCAACTTGAATACTAATTTCTTTGTTCGGTATAAATTTATGAGATTAAATTATCCGTAGGATTTATTTTCTTGAGAAGACCAATGAAGTCATTAAAATAATCATGTGAAATATTATATTCAATTTTAATACTTAGCATCCTCACAAAAATTGATAATTTTGAATGAGTTTTGCAACCATCCCAAATTAGTTTTTGAGTTGCATGTAGTAACTCAAAGAATTATTTTAATTTTTGCATTTGATGTTTCTTCAACATTAGCCCTTAAATTAGGATCTGTTATATCAAAAATAAGTTCTTCATATGATCTAGTCATTTGATATTCATCAAATATTTCAAAAGTTGTGGATGGACCGACATTAGTATCTTTGTGTGGCTCGTACTCGTCATGTGAGGTCCAAATCCAGTAGTATGAAACAAATCTTCTATGACATAAATCAACCTTCACATCATCAGGATTGAGGAATACTTGATTTATGTGCTTCGAACAAGGACATCTAAACATTCCATTGAACTTAAATGATGGTAGTTGAGATGCAATTTGAATAAAAGTCTCAACTTCCTACATAAATTCATATGTCAATCCTATTCGACCTGGTAACAATTTGTTTTACATCTAATATCTCTCGTTTTGAATAGTCATTTGGATGTTAAAATAAATGTTCTCTATATAATTGTGAAATCAATTATTAGAAGATATGCAGCCTTAAATCTCATTTAAATGTAAGAAAGAAATATCATTTACTCCTAATCGGAATATCGGAAGGCAATGGACAATACCAACAGTGAGACTAAAATCTTCAAAAATTTATTGAATTCAAGATTACTTTAATTTCCTTATTTGACTAATCCAAATTTTGATGTATTTAAAATTATTAAAATTAATTTTATTTTTCTTATTGAGTAACAATTATTTTTTCATGTACAAATTTCATATGAAAAAGCTGGCGGAAGCTCTACATTTTGGTAAAGCTTGGTGTTAATCCCCTAGGGCTTTCATCAATCCTTAGTTATCTTTCTCACTTTTACTTTTCTTTCTTAACACAATTTTCATGTCATTTGCATAGTCATGAGACTAGCTTCTCCCAACAAAACACATTCAAAAAAACTCCATCATTAGTTTTTACCATCCCAAACCTTTGATCTAATATTCCTCCATATTTTTCTCCAAGGAAAACTTATCTTTAATAACTTAGAAGTTTTAACACCAAATCTATCCAAAACAAAAAAATTTATTTCACCAACACCCAAATAATCATCACCCTAAAGGGACTTTAATCAACTTGCTGCATTCACAATAAATATAATATAAATGGATAGCTTCCATAGTTGACCTACTGTGCATGAATCAAAATTTATGCTCCAAAACTCTCTCTATGCCAAAATCTATGCTCCAAAACTCTCTCCCATTGTTTTAAAGGATGACACATTAACATTAAAAAATTAAGTTAAAAAAAAAAAACAAACAAACCTTTGATTCAGGGCGTTGTTAGAGTGCTCGATGGGTTTCAGCAACAGAGTTTGGGCGTGATCAGCGGCTGGAGCGAGGATGAGAACTTCGGTCGGAGTTAGGGTGTCGACGATCGAAATCCTGCGGAGGCAGCTGGAGGCGATCGCGAGCGCAAGTGTCTGGAGGAAAAAGGATACGAGAAGAAATGAGGACGAAGACTCGGTTTATCCAATAATAAGTTGATTTCCGTCGGTTGTCCGACATTTTCGATTGCCGAAAAAAAAATTACTTAACACCAGCAGCTAGGCCGCCGGTAATGGCACCGCGAAAACATAAAACCGGCAGCCTACTCGGGGTTTATTATACCGTCGGTATTTTCGGTGGTATATTATTAAAAACCGCCAGTTAATACCGGTGGTCCGAAAGCCGATTAAACGCCAGTAATTCCGACGGTATTTTGACCGCCAGAATGACTGCTTGTAATTGTTGATTTTAATGTAGTGACTCGCGTCAATATGTTATTCTATTATTAAATTCATGTTATCGAGTCCTTCATTTCGATTATTAAAATTGAAAACAAACTTCAAATAATCCCAAAATAAATTTCAAAACATAATCTTTATATTCATCCACAATAGCACTTTCAAAATATATAAATTATATCAAAATCCATGCTATATACAAATCTTATCACAATAAATAAATCATTAGAGAATACATAGGCAAAGATCAACTTATGCCTTTTTATTTCCTCTCATCTCTCTCTCTCTCTCTCTCTCTCTCTCTCTCTCTCTTGCTACCTAATCCTTAGGCAACATATAATATGCTCATGCTTAGGTCAGGTTCCTTGCACTTTCTCGCAGTTGCAAAAATTCCATCAAATCCCATCATCGAATCTCCTTCCACTCATTAGTTCTTATTTATTATTGCATATCTTTATCAGCCGAATTGATGACATCTTGATTGATTAGCTTGCTTTACAAATGAACCTTCAGTCACATTTCTTAATCAACCCCGCACGTGTTAAGCACTAGCTGCTAATGGCCCCATGATCCTTACTTAAGCATTAAGAACAAATTAATTACTTCATAATTACTTGTCATTTATTTTAATGACCTGTTGCTCTACGTACACGACAGAGTTGGAGATGTGTTCTTCATGTGAAGAAACGGGCTCCTTCTTTGTAAATATAATCGCATAGAAAAATATATATTAAGTTTTTTATAATATTTATTTAATTCATTATACATAAATATTTTAGTATTTTATTTTTTAATCATACATTTTGCTATAAATCTCTTTATTATTTTTAAATTTAGCTATAAAACAAAATTACATAATTTATGTTATTTAAATAGAATATAAACAATATATGTTAAATATTTCATTTCATTGCAATTAAAATTGAATAAGGATATTTGACCTCTTGTTCTTTTTATTTTTCTATAATTATTTTTGCGTGATAGGAAATTTCAGACGATAGAGAGAGTTTTATGTTTTATTATACGCAAAAATCTAGTATAGATAGATAACAAAACAAGTAAGAAAGATATAAAAGTTTTTACATGAAAATTTCAATATGGAACTCTATCAAGGAACTTATCGAACTAAAATAATGCACTATATACTTAAATTTGAAGAAGTTCGACCTTCTCCAGAGCTGAACAAGATAATATCCCAAAGTTGATATTACTTATTTGGTCTTCTAAAATTGTAGTAGTGATTGACAGAGAAATTGTGGAGAGATGATGATGGTAGTTCAGATTTTCGGCTGAATATTTCGACTACCGTACAATGGGTGCGGGTCAATGAGACGGGTAGTGGATTCATGCGGGTGGGTGGGCGGTCACGGCCCTGATTTTTGTGCACGGGTCGGTTGGCTGGCAAGGCCCTTTTTCGTGCATGTCGGCGGATTTGCACGGCTGGTTTGGCGGCTTGGCTTCATGTCGTATGGCGGGCGGGCAGCTGGTTGCCGGGTGCAAGGAAAGATT